TTATGTATATGAATGGAGTGCCAGGGATGTTGCAACACATTCATGCACTGTATAATACTTAAATCAGGTTAAACATATCTCCTTTATCACTTCTGATAAATGTAAAAATTTTCAAAATTCTTTCTTCCACCTTTCTGCACATGAAGAATTTTGTTAAGATCAGACAGAGTACTTTTTCTATCAGTCTATGGAGAAACAACTTAATGTGGACAAAACTTATGGTGGGTGTTTATGATCTAACAGTGGAGTTCAACAACTTCTGGTGATTTGTAAACTTATACCAGAAACTCACTCTCCCATCAACAGGCCTTCCTGAGTACCACACCTTTTTTTTCACAGTGCTGGGGATGGAACCGAGGATCTTGTGCAAGCACTTGTCCCCACACACACCTAGCTGGCGGAATGGCTCAAGAGGTAGAGCACCTGCCTAGAAAGCTTGAAGCTCTGAATTCAAACCCCAGTGCCACCAAAAAAAGGCATATTTAATCTATTTCACTCCAGGCTTAGGCGTGTTTAAGTTATTTTATTTTTAGGTAAGCATTTTGTTTTGAAGGTTGTTTTGCAGTGTGGGGGATCAAATTTAGGGCATCACACATGCTAGGCAAGTCTCTACCACTAAGCTATACTCCAAATCTGGAATAGTTTTTGACTTACAGAATTTAAATGTTGAAATTAATCAAGAGAACAGTTTTAGCCAGGCATGGTGATGCACACCTATAATCACAGCTCTTCAAAGTTGAGTTAGGACATAACTTGAGCCAGGAGTTAGAAGCTAGCCTGGACTACATAGAGACTCTTGTCTCAAAAAAAGGGGGGTGGGGTGGGGTGGCTCAAGTGGTAAAGCACCTGCCTGAGTTCAAACTTCAGTACCACCGAGAGAGAGAGGGTTAGAGCGAGTATTACAGAGAAGGTGGTGAGGACATAGCTCAGTGGTAGATAGTACAGCACTTGCCTAGCATGCACAATGTCTTGTGTCCATCACTCCCCATCAAAAAAAAAAGTTCCCATATATACTCCAAATCCAGTTTCCCCTATTCCTTCCTTCCTCCCTTTCCTTTTCTTAATATTGTGAATCACAATTACAACAATGAATTAGTAGGAAAAGTTACATATACTCTGTGCTGTTTCCAACCCATCAAAATACTCAAGAGAAAAGAGACAGATGTCAGGCCATAATGCATATGGCAGTCACAGTGAGTTCCTCTGGAAGTATCAGTTCCAGATACAAACGTTAGTCATTCTGAATCTCCAGAGAGTGGAAACATTTGATTCCATCTTGGACTCTTCCTAACTGGCTTGTAACACAAACTCGAGAATTTCATCTTTGGTCAAAACTGTATATTGGACTGGTGGAGTGGCTCAAGTGGTAGAGTGCCTGCCTAACAAGTGCAAAGCCCTGAGTTCAAATCTCAGTACCACCAAAAACACACACAAAAAAGTGTGTATTTTCCTTAAATCCCACAGCTCACAAATAAATCCCTTGTTTATTTGATATGGCCTCTTTCCCATTCCTCAGTATCCTTGGAAGCCTCTGAAAAGCAAACTTAAGCAGCTATCAACATAAATGACTGTAGACAAAGCACTGAGAACAGAAGCAGGTAAAGTGTTTCTTGGTTCCTTGTTCAGGGTTCCCTTGTAGTTGATGCCCTTGGGGATATCTGCTTAGCAGATACTACTTTCTCTGGCCAGCCTACCCAAGAGCTATCAAGCTGATACTTCTGTCCCCCCACGCCCAGCCATATTTGATTGGCTCTTGACTGGACACATGACTCAACTTGAGTGGATGGCATTCTCTCTCTTATTGTCTGTTGGGATTAGTGATTCCAGTCCCTGTCCGACATGAGGACAGGAAAGAGGCCATGTTTAACCTTGTGTTCAGAAGCAGAGGAAGCAGGTCTGCCAGACAGAACAAGACTGAAGTAGGGGCTGGGAATGATGGCTCATGTCTATAATTCCAGCTACTCAGGAGGCAAAGGTAAGAGGATTATGGTCCAGCTAGGGCAAAAAGTGCAAGACCCTATCCAAGTGGCCTTAGTGGCAGAGCACCTGCTTGGCATACACAAGAGTGTAGAAATAAGCAGAGTAGGAGACAGGTCTAGAGAGGGTGAGCAGCAGCCTACCTGGCTTCTTGATTTTTTTTTTAAGACAACATGTGAGTGGTATACTTTATCCCTGAATGTTTAATTTTCCTGCTCTTAAAAAAATATAAACACAAGCTCACTGTGGAAATCTTAGCTTTCTTTTCATAAACCACATTTTCATTGTTTATACACTCTGAGAAGTATAAACATGAAGAGTTACTTGTAATGAAACACACACATATTGGACAAGCTATGTGCAAAAATGTTCATAGTACAATAGAAGGGCTGACTTGGCATGGTGGTGGTATGGCTGTAGTCCCAGCTACTTCAGACGTTGAGGCAGGAAGACTGCTTGAGGCCATCCTGAGCAACACAGTGAGACCATCTCAAACAACATGATTACCACTTCACTCATTGTATGCACATGCATTAAGGTATACATTTTATGTTATCCCTCACTTCCAAGCCCACCTCTCCCTCCATTCATTCACTCATTCACACACATTTACTTGCTCATTTACTCATACAGCAAATTTCCTGAGTACTTCTTGTGTCAGATGCTGGTGAGAACAGCAGTGAGCAAGACATACGCTTCCATTCTATCCTGTACACTTCACAGTCTAATGAGAATCAGACATTAACTATACATGAGTTTACAGTTACCACTGTAAAGGAACCCCTGAGAATAATTTAAGAGGTGCTTATTAAACAGAAGGACCCAACTGGATTGGGGGGCAAAAGTAGACTTGAAGGATGAATGGGAGTTAGTCAAGTGAAGAGGAACATTCCTGGTTGAGGGAATAGCACATGGTGCCTTGAGGGACAGAGACCTATGTAACTGAATTCAGTTTAGTAAATGAAGCCCTAGGGGGGGTTGGAGCCACTGTGCTTGCTCTCTGTGGACCATTTGAAGGAATATTTGTCCAAAGAGCAGTAAAGGAGGTGAGATAGGGGAAGTGGTATATCTGTTTGGCAAAGTTCACTTTGGCTGGCTGCAGAGCTACTAGGACAGGGCTCCTTAACATCGGTACTGTTGGTATGTTGGGTGAGATGACGTGAGGGACTAGCCTGTGCAGTTGTAGGGTGTTTAGAAGCATCTCTGGCCACTACTCACTAGCTGACAGTGGCACCTCTCCTCCTCCTAGTTGCAATCAAACATTAAATGTCCTCTGGGGCATTTACTCTTGATGATCTGAGTGTGCCAGGCCGCTTAGTTCAGTCTGACTAGTTTTCTTGGTCTGCCGTCTTCCCTCTCTCCAGATACACCTACTGGGTGTGCAGATATATGTGCACGTGCTGTCATGACTACAACATCCCTGTGGGTCACACTTGCCTCTGGCTCCCCAAATACAAATATGCTTTGCATAGCTGAGGTTCTGATGTTCATTGTACAAACACTCTTGAATATATCAGGGTAAGCATAAACAGTTAATATTTCACCCTGTTATTTCCAAGAATTTACAAATTCCCTACTCAATCATCTTCTCATTCCAGTTCCTGCAAACAGCAGCCACCTGGCATGTTGCAGTCAAAAATGGTTAGTTGCTATTAGCAGGAATGAAGGTTGCATAACCTTTTTCTTATATGCAAAACGGAAGTATCTGGCCAAATTGGTCCTTTACAGACATTACCATTCAATCCTTACCAACCTGCAGTACCCAGATTCTGATCAAAGTCTCCTAACAGAGCAAATTCCTGCTGGGAATTACGCCTGTAATCCTAGCTACTCAGGAGACAGAGATTATGGTTCAAAGCCAGCCCTGGGCAATAGTTCTCGAGACCATTTCTCAAAAATATCCATTCTCTCCCATCTTGGGTCATTGTGCCTTAGCCAGCATATAGATACCAAAGCTTTCATCCTGCTCACCACCTCCTTCCTCTACTTTTTCCCATGGAAGGCACTGAACAAACTGCTTTGCTACACTTTGTCCATGTCATTTTCCATTTCTCTTAACTATAGTCCTACATATTCAAGGTCTATGGAGAAAGCTAGCCCTTGGTCTTGTCACTAATCTCTAAGCCCCTCTGCTTTGGATGTGAATAATACCAATTACCCTTTGAGGTGGCAGCTTACACGTTCTTTTTTTGCTGTGTTGCAGGGTTTTAATCTAGGTACTCATCATGTTCTGACACTCAGCTACACCACCAGCACAAACCGTCTGACTATGAAGACAATGCCGATGCAATGAGACACTGGACGTCACAGACACCACCATTAAACCATCTGCTACAATGCCAAAAATTAACCTGTCTTTCAAGCTAGTCTCTAAATCCAGGATCAGGGGCAGGTAATCTTTTTCTGCAAAGAGCCAAGTAACAAATATTTTAGGTTTTGCAGGCCACACAATCTCTACACAGGATGAAAATCACCACAAAAATGTATGTAATTGTATAGCTGCATAGCACTAAGATTTTATGGACAAACTTGAATTTCAGTTTCCAGGTGCCATATTCTAATTTCTTTCAAGTACTTAAAAATGCAGAAATCATTTAGTTGACAGTCACACAAAATGCTATGAGCTGGGCACCCTTATAATCCCAGCTACGTGGGGAAGCACAAATAGGATTGTAGTTGACCTGCCTGTACATAATATCCAATGAAAAAAAAAAAGGCTGGCTTAAGTATAGAACACCTGCTTTGTAAGTGTGAAGCCCTGAATAGCATACATAGATGCTACGAAGTTAGGACAGTTATCAAGAATGTACCTATTAAGTCTAATGACATATGTACCTCCCACAGCTTAAGAGCCACATGCATGGAGTTGTTTGAATTTAATTAATTCCAATTAAATAAAAATTGAAGTGAGTCCTTTACACTAAACACACTTGAAATACTTAGTAGGCAGAGAATAATTCTATTGCAGAAAACGGTGCTGTTAGGTCAGGCAGGGGGAGGAAAATTCATTACAAACCAGAAGAGCAGTTCAAAAGGTTTCACATATTTATTACTACACCATCCTTAAGGTAATCAAAGAATTCCAATTTAAAACACCCAACTGTCCAGGTAGTGTGACAAGCCAGCTTGATGCCAAGATGATCGCCAACCACGGAAGAGCATAAATATGTGTGCCATCTCTCATAATTCCTTACAGACCCAGCTTGGTTCTCCTCCAGTGTCTCCTCTTAGAGTTGTACCTGTGCAGAAGGAAGCTGTATGTTACAAAAGTGGCCACACAACAATTTGGTTATTCCCATTTACCACAAACTTGGCCTTTTTTGTAGAACAAAACCCAAAGGATTCCCTTTGAACAAGTATGGGGCTTTCTGAAGAGTAACAAAATGATTTATGTGAAGCCAGGTATGGTGGTGCACACCTATAATTTCAGCACTTGGGAGGCTGAGGAAGCAGATCATGAATTTGAAGCTAGTCTGGGTTACATAGCAAGACCCTGAAAAAGACTGAAGGACACTAGTCAAAACAAACTTCTAACCTCAAGAGGACTCAAGGGGATAGGGGGATTGAACTCAGGCCCTTGCACTTGCTAGGCACTTGAGTCATACCCTCAGCCCAAGGCTAGGTTCTTAACTGGGACTAGTGCGGAGTTCTTTCTCCCTCTTCCCTGTGTGTCCTTATCCGCTTTTGATTCAACAGACCTGAAGTAGGTAGGCATGTTTTGAACCTCCTAATGGATTATACACACCCATGCAAGTACCTGCATAATCGTTATGAAGCATTTCACAAGTAGCTACCCCAGACTAAGAGGTTTGCAGAGTTAAAGCAACCTCTGAACTGTCCATGTCAAAATGTCATGATTTTACCCTCATAAAGGCAAAAATCAAAAACAATCAACATGACTTTTCTTTCAGCAGGATAATGGCAGTACTTCCACAAAATGAAGCACTGTAATTGCAACCTGCTTTTGAGGAGCTAGGAAATGCAACCCAGTGGTACAGCACTTGCTTAGCATGTGCAAGGCCCTGATTTAATCCCCAACACCACACACACACAAAAAGCTGGAAGATAGCTAGCTAACAGAAATGTCTATTGTGGCAATTCTCTGGGTTGAGAATATAATCATAAATACAAAATACTTTCCAACTCTAGATCATAAAGCAAGGGGCAAATATTGATAATAGGAGGTATTTATTAAACTAAGTTTTTATATACATTTTGTTCTTCATGACCTATAAGACAGGTCCCACCATCAGATGGGGACATCGAAAAATTGATGGTCATGTAGATACATAGTTCAAACCCCAGTAACACTAAAATAAACAAAACAAACAAAAGTACCACTTGAGCCACACCTCCAACCAATTCTGCTCTATTTTGGAGATGGGGCCTCGTGAACCATCTGCCCAGCTGGCCTTGAACTGCTAGCCTCCTGATCTTAACCTCCCAAGTAGCTAGGATTACAGGTGTCAGCCACTAGCACCTGGCTTGTGGTTATTTTTGAAATAGGGGCTTGCTTTATGCCCAGCTGGCCTGGGCTGCAATCCCTGCATAGCTGAGGATGACAGGTGCAGGCCATGTCCCCAGCCATTGGATAGGGTCTCTCAAACTGTGGATCCTCCCCATCTCAAGCCTCCTGAGCAGCTAGAATTACAAGCTTGAGACACCAAATTCAGCCTTAAAAGAAGACTTTGTGTTGGTGCACACCTGTTATCTCAGCATACGGGACATTGAGGCAGGAGGCTTGCTGAGTTAGAGGCCAGCCTGGATAATTTAAGGACCTGTCTTAGGAAAAAAAAAAAGTGAAGTAGCCCCTGAACACCTGAATAGATAGAAATAATAAAGGGTAGTATCTAGTCTACAGCAGACAATTAACTAACCCATAAGGCTACAGAGTGGGTGGCAACTTCAGTGAATGAAGGCAATAGCCTTTAATTTTAGCCTCGACAATTGATCTTCCTATCAGTAAACGGATCCCACCAGGTTTGCTATACAATTCAAATGGAGTTCTATACTAGCAGTATGATCTTAACACTCCAGGGCTTCCTTGTCTTCTTCTAGGAGGGACCCACTTGCTCTGCTCACCCTATAATGTCAGCCCTAAAGCACTTTGAAGAATTTAGGTACTATTCATTTTGTCCCCCTTCTACTCTCCTGGCCTCAGTTTTCGGGATGAGTCAGAAAACATGGTATTTTCATCTTAAACAAAAACTTGCAATGTTTAACACACTGGGACTGTCATTGGCTGTTTAAAGTCTTGCAGATCTCACTGACCTTTGATGCTTATTTCTCCTCAAGTCTTGTCCCAAGGGCTGGGGCTATAGCTCAGTAGTAGAGTGCTTGTCCAGGCTGTGGGTAGCCTCAGGCATGATACCCAGCACTGAAAGACTTGTCAGGACCCGCGTACTCTGAGTTTTAAGCATTGCTGACTTTGGAGGCGCTTCCTAACAACAACTCTACCAACGTCTTTCCTCCAAAATCATCAATTCAACTACTTCTCCACTAGAGGGCAGTTTTCCAATCATTAGAAAAGATAATTGGGTCTTTCCCACAAGACAGTCTTCTTTATATATTATAGCTCAGCTTGAAGACAACCGTGAAAATTAGTAGATTGAAGAAATGTCCACTCTTAAGGCCATCTATGGGCTGTGTGCAGTGAAGAAACCAAAGAAGCATTTTAAAAAATTTTCAGAACGATAGAAGATGGATTGCATGCAATTTTCAACTGTGTATTTATTTATGCTCCTAAAGTAACCTGAAAATTAACAATAAACCAAGCAGAACAAGGGGCAGTCTTACCTGATTTTGTTACCAGTTTTCATACGAATCCACTGGGGAATGGGACGATTTTGCTTTTGTTTCTTGGCCAGGAATCGTTTGATTCTGAAAGTCTTGTGAGAAGACTGCAAGGAGATGACCAAAAGATCTAAAGTCACAAACTCCCTCAATCCAACAAATGTTACTTAATGTATACATCAAGGAAATCTTCCAAGGCTAAATCAGCAAGCCCTTCTACCCTCACTGCTACTCTGGAGGTAGGTACCCCAGTTTCCACTGTCCAAGTAAAGATAAGCAGAACAAGGGAGGTTCTGTTCAAAATTAGCAGAACAAGGTTTCAAACCCATGTCCCCTCAGCTCCACACAACTCAAATCAGTTGGGAATAGCTAGGGCCAGGGAACCTGACTTACCAGCAAGAACAGTCCTTTGGGTTGACCAAAACCTGTCAAGTCAATGGGCCTCATGGTCTTACTTTGTGAAACAGGGACACCTATTTTCAAGGGACACTACCAGGATAGTTACGCAAAGTCCTTGACATTCAGTAGACCTATTCTAAACTACACTCACCACTCTGCATCAATACTAGTTTTTGAAAATGTCACTTTCTCTGTGGAGCTCAGTACAGCTGGAACACCAGCAGTATATCACTTTTCTAGAAAACCTTATAAGTTTTTCAAGAGTCAGCACTTGGAGCTGTGAGACACGAAGATTTTACAGCTAGGTTTGGCTAGTGGAAAAAAACCTACCCCCCAACATTAGAACCGTGTGTTTTGAAATGGTTATCATCTTAGTATCATGGGGAAAATTAGCAAATTATTGGTGTTACACTCATTTACTATTTATCTGGGTTTTTTGTATAACATAATGGGCAATAAAATTGTTTTATCGCCTCAAATGTCACTTCCTGAAGGATGGTCCCCCCAATTTCCTGTAGCATTTTTAGAAGAACTTGGGTCATCTAAACTCAGCCCTACTGGGTTTACAGAACAATTTAGCAAAATTAACCTAGTGACACACCCTTCCATAATAATATGGACCATTATAGAGAAGGCAAAGGCTACACACTCCTGTCCCTCAGCCCACAGTAGCAGTATTATGTCTTAGTAACTAATAAGCTATAAACAAGCCCGGTGTTGGTGGCTCACGTCTGTAATCCCAGCTATTTAGCAGGCTGCATTCGGGAGGATCACAGTTCAAGGTCAGCCCAGGGTATTTCCGAAACGAGCAAAATGGACTAGAGACGTGACTCAAGCGGTACCAGCACCAGTTTTGCAAACATGAAGCCCTGAGTTCAAACTCCAGTTCCACAAAAAACACTCAAAATCTAAAAACATCAGATCGGATGACCGACAAATATGCTTTCTCAGTAAACTGTGCCACAGGCAGTGCCTGGCGCGCTGTTAGCCTTTACTAAAAACTACAGGTGGACATAAGTTTACACAATACCCTTTTACCAGGAGCTTCTACGGGGTGGCGTTCAAGGTTCTGAACAAACGCTAAAAAGTCCTGTAATCTCCTAGTATAGCAAGCTGCCGGGAGCCAAACCCCACTCCCGGTGCCGAGCACATAGTGCATGCCAAGGGCAGCCTGCAGTTGGTCCGCAATTTCTAGACTGGTCCCCAGATCCCTTTCCCTGATCTAGAATCAAGGGGCTTCGAATGAAGGGAGGCAAAAAGCCTTGTGTTCCTGACGGGCGACCCGGCCACCAGAGCACCCCCTCGCACGCGCGGCGCCAACGCAGCCCGCCCCTCCCCAGGAGCTCCCTGTACACCAGTTTCCTGCTAGGCCCGCGTACTAGAGCGGAGGCCAAAATAGACCTTCCCTTAAAAAGGACTTTAAAATGCTCCTGCCCCTTGATGCTCCGCGTGGTCCTAGTGAGCCCGAGGCGACCTCAAATCTCGGGAAGCCACCGCAGAACCGATGGCGACCGATGGACTTACCATGGTGAGAAGCTGGGCCAAAAGCACACACCACGATGGCGGACAAAAGCAGAAAAGGGGAAGAGGGAAGGAAGAACGAGTTTAGAAGGCGCCGCCGGTAGGTGGAGCTTAGGGCTGACGTAGCCATGCACCGCCTAGAACCGCCCCGTCCCCTATGCCGGAGCTCACGGTGGGGGGGGGGGCGTGGGAACCCGCGTTGATTCGTGTGAAAGAGAACTCGCGTGGCTTCACTTCTGTAAGTGGGTCTCCCCAGGGGCCCGTCGGTGCGTGACGGGCGTCCAGTCTCGTGAGTGACGCAGGCAGCCTGAGATAGGTAAGTGGCAAAGTAGAAGCCCTTCCGAAAGCCGGGGACGCAGAGTGGGCGGGACCAAGTCACAGGGAGGGCGGGGCAGGCTTTCGTCATCTTTGAGCGCCGGAGACTTTGCTCTGGATTTGGAAGGAAGCGCTCCGCAAGGGGGCGGGGCCTGGGAACGTTCCGCAGGGTGGGAGGGCGGAAGCAGGTTGGGTTTATTTTATTTTATTTTTTTGAGAGCGAGAGAGACTGAGGGTGTCTTTATGTACTGTAGACTGTCCTGGAACTCGCAGTCTTCCTGTCTCAGACTCTTAAGTGCTGGGATTACAGGCATGAACCACCACGACATCCCAGCTTTTTCCTGGAGAGCCAGGAGTAATTTTAAACTAACTGGGAGTGCCTGGTGGGAAGACAGTGGTGTAAGAGGAAGCGGGAGAGTTTGGTGGCGGCTGGACTCCTTGCGCCCTGTGAACTTAGGGATGGCCTTGGGGTTTTAAACGAGGCAACGGGTTGCCAATCAAGGTTTTAAACTAGAAAGTTTGGGGCGGGAATCTTTTTCTTGTTTGGTAGGAAGCAGAGACTGACCTCATAGCACACATTTGTCATGATGTGCAAGAATTGACAGGCGTTTGGGATGCTAGTGTTACCCGTTTTCATCTTTTTCTTCTCATTTGAAAACCTCGGGCTGGGGGTGTAGTAGATCAGTGGTAGAGCTTTTGTCTAGCATGTTCTATGCTCTGGCTTCTATCCCCAGCACCGCAAAACAAAAACCAAAAACAGAACCCCCAGTTCTGTGTATTTTTGCAGCCACTTCAAGCAATTTTGCACAAGAGTCCATCTATACAATTCAGACTCCATGAACTTGTTTGGGAAAAAAACACAACCATTTGCATTAAATTGAGTTTCATGTTTTGTTTATAAATGTAGGCAACAGATACAGTGATACATGTGACTTGGTCAGCTATAGAAATTGTAGATGACCTAGCCCGCCGCCAGTGGCCCAAACCTGTAATCCGAGCTACTTGGGAGGCGGAGAACAGGAGGATCGCAGTTTAAGAACAGCCCAGGCAAAAAGTTTGAGATATCCATCTCCAAAATAGCCAGAACAAAATGGACAGCAGGTGTGGCTCCAGGGGTAAAGTGCCTGCTTTACAAGTGTGAAGCCCTGAGTTCAAACTTCAGTCTCACCAAAAATTGCAGATGAGCTGGCTATGGTGCTGCACATCTGGCATCCCAGCACTTGGGAGGTAGAGGCAGGAGGATCTTGAGTTCCAGGTCAGCCCTGACTATACAGTGAGACCCTGTCTCAAAAGTAATCATAGGGTGGGGGTGAACCTAACCAAGATACACTGTAAGCATATATGGAAATGTCACAATGAAACCCCCTGTACAACTAATATAGTCTAGGAAAAATGTTATATATATAATTTTTAAAAATCTAGAAATTTAAAAAATCATAGATGGGTTCATGCTACACTATAGCTGATGCCGATGTCTTGAAATGTTATTTACACAATTACTTCCTTTAAAATAGAGTGCTTGTTAGACCCACAAATAGAAATATGTTAAATAATCCCAGCTATTCAAGAGGATTAAGGTTCGAAGTCAGCCTGGGCAAATAGTTTGTGAGACCCTATCTGGAAAAAAACCCATCCAGAAAAGGGCTGGTGGAGTGGCTCAAGATGTAGACCCTGAGTTCAAGCCCCAGTACCGCAAAAAAAAAAAAAAAGTATGTTAAAAAGCCTATATGTTGTTATAGCACACATTTCTTTAAAAAATATTTTGAAACACTGGAGATATGGCTCAAGCAGTAGAGCACCTGCTTTGCAAGGGCGAAGCCCTGACTTCAAACCCCAGTCCCACCAAAAATGAAAATAAAAATAAAAAATAAAAATATTATGTTAACTATACTACAGTGTAGCTGATTTTTTTGTAATCTTATGTACTTTGTTTTATGTATTAAAAACATTTTCAAGCCAGGAGCTGGTGGCTCACATCTATAATCCTAGTTACTCAGGAGACAGAGATCAGGAGGATCACAGTTCAAAGGCAGTCCTGGAAAATAGTTTAAGAGACCCTATCTTAGAAAAAAAAATCACAAAAAAGGGCTAGTGGAGTGGCTCAAGGTATAGGCCCTGAGTTCAAACCTCAGCACCGCAAAAAAAAAAAAACAATAAAACATTTTCAGGGAAGTGGATCGAGTGGTAAAGCACCTCCCTAGCAAGTGTGAGGCCCTGAGTTCAAACCCCAAGTGCTTGCATAGTATGCAAGAGGTTGAGTTCTATCCCCAGCACTACACACACAAAAAAAATCTGAAAATAAGTTCATAGACTTTATCAGACTGCCGAAGTGTTCCATGGTATGAAGGTTACAAACTCTTGGATTATACTGGGAAAACAGAATATAAAGGTTCAGTTAGGCATCAGTGGCTCACACCTGTAATCCTAGCTACTCTGGAGGCAGAGGTCAGGAGGATTGAGGTTCGAGGCTAACCCAGAGACCCTATCTTGAAAATACCCAACACAAAAGGGGCTGGTGGAGTGGCTTAAGCAATAGAGCATCTGCCAAGCTAAGTGTGAGCCCCTGAGTTCAAATCCCAGTACCATCAAAAAAATAAATAAAACCAAAAACCCCAACAAAACAATAAATAAGAGCCAACATTTTCCTTTTGATGACCAGAAGGAGCAACCTACAAGCGTTTAGTTGATTTGGGGCTACCACTTCCTGAGGGTATAGAAGCACTGGGTAAGTGCTTCTATAAGTGCTTCTATTAGTCATCCTTTTCAATCGTACAGCTTGAGAGGGCTCTTCTACTTCTCCCTGTTTTCTGTCTATCTGGCATGGTCCCCCTTCTCACTTTCTTTTACTGATTCTTCTTGATTTCGCTGTTTTGTTTTTTTTAAACATTGGTTTGGCTTTGGATCTGTTTTCTGTATTTTCTCACTCATTCAATGATCATATCCAGTATCATGGCTATAAATAATCTCTGGCTAGATGACGCCCAAATGTGTATCTCTAACCTGGACCTCTCTCCAAACTCCTACTATCTTCTTTTTTTTTTTTTTTCTTGTGAACTGTTCCCCAGGGCTGGCTTCGAATCTCAATCCTCCTGATCTCTGCCTCCTGAGAAGCTAGTATTACAGGCGTGAGCCATCAGCGCCCAGCTCCTACTATCTCCTTGACTCTCCACTTCCATGTGTAATAGATTCCTTAAACTTAGTATTCCCACCCCACCAGAAAAAAAGAATTTTTTAGTTTTATTTATTTGCATTGCTGAGATGGAACCCAGGGCCTCACTCATGCTAGGCAAGCATTCTATCCAGAACTACACCCATTCCTAGAGCTCCTGTTCTTTTCTATCCGAAGTGGGTTATTCACAGCCCTTCCCATCTCCGAGTGCTCTGGGGGAGGATTCATAAAGTCACTGGGAAGACATGTAAACATAGTAAGGTGGGAGTTAAGAAAACTGACACATAATAACCACCAGCCCCCAAATTCACATGTGGAAACCCTAAGTCCCAGTACCTCAGTGTCTCTGTTTTTGAAGAGAGACCCTTTAAGGAAGTAATAACTTAAAATGAGAATTGTTGGCCAGGTGCCAGGTGGCTCATGTCTGTCATGGTAGCTTCTTGGAGGGCTGAGAGTGGGAAGATAACATTTCTAGGGCAGCCTGGGCAAATACTTGGAGAGACCCCCATCTCCAGCAAAATGGGCTGGAGATGTGGCTCAAGCAGTAGAGTGCCTGCTTTGCAAGCGTGAAGTCCTGTGTTTAATCTTTTGCCCCACTTAAAAAAAATTAGACTTGAGCTAGGCATGGTGGCACACTGGTCATCCCAGCTACTTGGTAGCCTGAGGCAGGAGGATCCAGAGTTTTAAGTCCAGCCTGGACTACAAAGCAAGATCCTGTTCAAAAAACCTACCAACCAGTTGGCAGAGTGGATCAAGTGGTAGATAGAGCGCCTGCCAAGCAAGCGGGAAGTCCTGAGTTCAAACCCCAGTACCACCACTACCAAAAAAAAAAAAAAAAAAAAAAGAGAGAGAGAAAAAGAAAGGAAGCCATTGACTTGGGCTTGCTTCCTGGACACCATCTTTATGGGAGTGGGGGATAAAGGAGAGTGATGGAGAGGGTGAATTGAAGTATAATATATTTGATAAGTATATCTAGTTGATATATATATATATATTTGATAAGGAAGAACTTTTGTAAATGCCATAGTGTACCCCCACCCAGCACAACAATTAAAAAAAAATACAACAAAATAACCTGCCAACCAAACAAACAAAAAGAAGTGGAGGGTGGACGTGAGGTAGGAGCACACATCATAAATAAGTGAGCTGAGCCATGGAGGTTTTTTTGGTTTTTTTTAAAGATGCAAAACTTTTTAATTAAAAAACAGCAAACGTCTTTAAAGAAAAGGCAGCCAAAATGATCACCTGTCTCCCTTACTTATAGCAATACAATATCTGTCACAGTCACTATGTACAGTATTATAAAAAATGTCGCAGACAGTACACACAAAGACTGTATTTCTCACAAGACATTAAGCCTTGAGCCTCTAGTGTACACCCGTGAGAGAGAAGTCCACACTTAATTATCGCATCATTTTTAAAACAAAACTCATCAAAGAGGATGTCTTCTCCCACTGGGCCTTCGGTCATGATGGGGGCCGGGGGAGGTGGCATCGTCATTGTCATGACCACAATTGCCCAGCCAATAAATACCATTCACAGTTTGGGAAGGGGCCTGGGCCGGCTCGGGGGACCTGCCCCTGCCATGCACGGGTGGCGAGGGCATCCTGGCTACATGTGCTGCTTCGTATGCAGTGCCAGGTGGT